AATTAAAAATCGTTTGCCTCGCAAACGTTGCATGTACAAATGTAGTGTGCGAATAAAAATATGCCATAAATACTCATCGTATTTGTTATCAATTTATTGTCATCCATATGATTCAAAATTAACTAAAGCATTTAACTTTATTGGCATATTTTAAGTTTCATGGCCTATATAAAATTGAAAATGATCACAACACATTTGTGCACACTACATTTATCCACGCGATATTTCCGCACACTACATTTGTACATGCCACGTTTGCGAGCGCAACATTTGCGTACACGGTTCTTGCTCACGCGATGTTTGCGTGCACGACATTTGCGTAAAAATATAACAAACATGACATTTCCGCAACCATCAAAAATTGTCACATTGGAAAGTATCAATGGGGAAAAATCCAAAAAATGTACATTATGGAAAATTCCAGGAAATATACTCTATTGAAAATTCCAGAAAATGTCTGCTATGGGAAACTCCAGAGAATATCTCTTCTACAAAATTCCAAAAAGCATCATCTATAAATAATTCTAGAAAATATTGCTTGCAGTAAAAGGCTCCGCTTGCAACATCAAGCACTGCAATTAAGATCGGTTCTTAGACGAAGAAATTTAGCGTACGAGTGCGTTTTGTCCCATAAAAAGAAGGAAAGGATGTGAAAATAGATAAAGATAACAATGAAAAACGCATGAGACAATGAATTTGAGGAACGTAAAATTGGTTGAATGATTCATGACATTGATACAATTTGTACGATTGATTTGTACACCGGTTTATTTAATCGTTTTATTTTATTTGAAGCTTCGCGATATTCGAAATTCGCGACACATGCTACGTTTGCGAGCGCAACATTTCTTGCTCACGCGACGTTTGCGTGCACGATATTTGCGTAAAAATATAACAAACATGACATTTCCGCAACCATCAAAAATGGTCACATTGGAAAGTACCAATGGGGAAAAATCCAAAAAATGTACATTATGGAAAATTCCAGGAAATATACTCTATTGAAAATTCCAGAAAATGTCTGCTATGGGAAACTCCAGAGAATATCTCTTCTACAAAATTCCAAAAAGCATCATCTATAAATAATTCTAGAAAATATTGCTTGCAGTAAAATCCATAAAATATCTCCCATAAAAAATTCTATTATGGAATGTTCCGGCAAATATCTTCTGCAGGAATTCCAGAAGATATCTTCCATGGAAAATTCCAGAAAATGGAAAGTTCTAGAAAATATCTTCCGTAGAAAATTCCAAACATATCCTCCATGGAAAATTCCAGAAAATATCGTCCATGAAAAATCCCAGAAATTATCTTTCGTAGAAAATTTCAAAGATATCCTCAATGGAAAATTCCAAAAAATATCTATTGTGAAAAAAAAATTCATAGCTGATACTTTCTGGAATTTTCCATGGAAGATATTTTCTGCATTTCCATACATTGATTGAAAAAGTGAGTAGAATACATATACAACGTTTTCGCACGCGAAATGCAAATGCGCCACGCAACATTAACAT